GATTAGTCATTTTATTTCTGTTAAGTTATGTGCTTATGTGGCAGTTTTAATAGAGACTTCTTGTCCCATACTTAAGTGGGGGCAGTTTAGTCTTTGTAATACTAATTAGAGGCTAATCCATATTAAGGGTCGACTGATAGGGTTTAGTCTATCAAGTTTGACTGATCTCTTCTTCTTCTTCTTCTTCTTCTTCTTCTTCTCTTCTCCTGGTTCGAACTACTGTAGCTACAGAACAAACAGGGTAAAACGGAACCGGTTTCCTAGACAATTCCCAAGCCAAATAGTCTGATCGTTCGGGTCAATGACAGTTCGAAACTATTGATGGGTTCAACTACATGAATCCTTTTTCACCATTCTATTCTGTTCAGTGCCATATTCATGGTTAAATAGTTAAAATATGGGTGCTTAAATAATTTCTTATTACTACCACCGAAATCCTTTTGGGCCCCTAGCTTTTCTAGATAACTTTTTCTAAGAGATGCTGTAGATGGTTTTCTATGCACATGACCAAACCATCATAGCCTACTTTCTCTCATTTGATCACCTATTGGAGCTACTCCTAGGTTCTTTCATATGACTTCATTTCTAACCCTATCCTTTCCACTTTTACCACTCATCCATCTGAGCACTCATATTTCTGCCACACCCATTGTTTGGACATGCTGTTTCTTAACTGTCCAACACTCTTCTCCATTACATAGCTGGCCTTTGTTTTATAGAATTTTCCTTTTAGCCAAAGTGGTATTTTCCTATTACATTAGACTCTAGATGCACCCTACCATTTTGCCCATCTTGCTCTAATTCTATGGTTGACATCCTCAATTTTCCTTTGTTATGAACTATTGAACCAAGGTAACTGTGGAAGTTAATAGATAACAAAATACAACACTTCTTGTGGTTTTAACCGTAAAACCAACTTTAATCCCTTGTACACCCTTTCTCCCTTTCTTTCTCACCCATTGAAGACTCTTTCAAGAAAACCAAGCATAATTTTGAATACAACTCACACCATTGGCCCTTAGCTTTCATCCCTATATATTATATAGGTGTAACCTATTCTGAAAACCCAGTACCAACCCAAGAAAAGCAACCTATAACCAACTTACTAAAAATGTACTCCATCAACTTTACAAAAATCAACACAACTACCAATTGATGTTCTTGAAAACCAAGGAACTGACAATAAAACAACCTTGAGAATTGCATAACAAGACTACACTAGATTTCTATTGTACATTTACTCCTGAAGTGCCAAATGCACTATGTGCTTGTATATTTTCTTCTGATGCAAGTAGGCAATGAAATTTTGACCTTCACTCTTGAAATGTGTTTTCAGGCACATCCATGGTTTAAAGGCATTCAGTGGGACATGCTGTATGAGATGGAAGCTGCCTATAAACCTACAGTCAATGGAGAATTAGATACACAAAATTTTGAGAAGTTTGATGAAGTAAGTACTCAAAATACTGGTAACTGCTGCGGCATTCCCTATTAGTGGATGTATGTCATTGTTGTTATTGTTATTTAATTGTTATTGGCTTTTGTGATCCTTGAGTACCTCTTTGACTTGAGATTCTCCTATAGCATTTCTGTCTTGTAGCCGTTATCTTTTTCTTTTCTATCACTTTAAGATCTTCGTGTTAATTCTTTGCTCCTTATAGGTAGAATGTTCACCATCAGCATTGCCGAGAGTGGGACCCTGGCGTAAGGTACTTAATTGTTTGATTTGTCCTCATTTTTCTTGAATTTCTGAATTTTTATTATAGCACAAGTGATTTTTTCCCCATCAACAACATAGTTAAGGGGGTTTTGTTCATTTTAAGAAGAAACTCTGATGCTAAAAGCTAATATCAGGGAACAAAAACAGATAAAAAAACACCCATATTCTGACTAGAAAATACACCAGGGATGAATCAGATTTGGATATGTTATCATAACCCCGGGCCTGGAGTTGCCCATAATAGAGTCGGCCTTCCTACCTCTCCTCTGGTAAGTGAATAATTGTAGTTACTAGAGCATTAATGTATCTGGGAACTTACTTGAATGATGTGTTAAGGTGAGCAACTAGTACTCTAGCCTCTCTTATGTGTCCAAGGTCCAGCTGCTGCAGAGTCCACCCAATCAATTACTGCCATGCACTCACCTTCTATCACCATCCCTATTCAACCCCTCCATGAAGCTAACTTTAGACCTTGCTAAAAGCAAGGTTCAAAGTATTGATATGTATCGGTTTTCAGGGTCATTGATACACTAAATATAGAGAGTCAGGTGATTTCAATTATTAACCATGTTAATAGGTGATGTGACATCTCCACTAACAAAATGCCATCCAAAAAATTAAAAAAAAAGGAATTTCCGTGGAACAAAAGTCTCGATATCCAATTTTGTGTATCAAGTATCAATATTTTGAGCCTCTGCTAGAAGACTAATAGCTCAACCATTAAAGCATAAGGTGGTGTTTGGCATGTCTTTTGGTCTACAGGAAGCTCAAAAGACCAAAAAATGGACTTTTCCCGTTTGCTATCGCGTAGACTGAAAGACCTGAAGACGAGCGCACAGAAAAAGCTGAAAATTGGGAAGCTTCAAATGAAGCTTTTGATCTTTCTATGCTGAAAACAGCCTTCCCAGCTGTTTTTAACAGCCTGGTAGATCACAACATGAACCAAACAGTCTTGATCTTTAAAGACAAGACCCCAAACAATCATCTACCTAGAAAGACTTGCCGAGCAGCCTTTTGCCATATTCCTTTGTAGACTTACCTACCCCAAACAATCTAAGTAGTTCTTTGATTATGCTTGTTACGGTTTTCACTTTGTAGTGCATGAAGTATCCAATCATTGATTGACTGTACAGTTAGACTGCTGCCAGTTGTAGTAGCCAAATGAAGTTTATTTTTATGTTCTTTAACTTCTCTCCAAATAAAATTTACCTTTACTTTCTATTCTGTTACAGCATCTTTCTACTTTGAAAAATGCATCTGTGTGTTTTGAAGTGAGGAATAAATTAAATACAAGGGAGATTTGTGAGTAGTGCATATGAGAGAACTCAGACTACAATTCATTGTCTGAGTTCTGAGATCATTGTCTATACCTGCAACATGTTAAATTCCTTATCAACTTATATCTTAAATTTCTCCATATCCCCATGTTTGAGTTTTCACTGGATCTTCTATATGCTCAATAGTTAGTCATGGATACACAAATGGCTTTTTCTTGTTTCTTGCACCAATGGTCTTAAATATTAGGAGTTATTAGCTGCTTGTAACAAGTTTTAGAAGTATAGCCGGTAGACCCCTTTATCCCACCACACCCCTTTTCTACATGCATATGTGAACTCATGCATTCACGTACCACTTTCACAACTTTCTTGTTAAGGATAGGCTTCTGTAATAGACACCACTTATTGAAGAATATGCTATTTGCGACATGAAATACACCTTCAATTATGTTTGTCCATGTTGGATATTGCAGATGTTGACATCAAAAGATGCCAATTTCCTAGGATTTACTTTCAAGAAGTCAGACATAAAATCCATTGGAACTTCAGGTTTGTGATTTTATATTTCAATTACTTTCTGCAACAAGTATTAATATTCATATCTTATCACAACGGATTATCCCTTGCTAATGTTAAATTCCTTTTGGAACATTGTATGTCTATATGGTTTCTTTCCTTGCATGTCATTGGTTTTTGGGTTTCACATTTGAATGTTGACCATGTGACCTGTGCTTAGAGGATTGTGCTTATTGGATTTTTTAAGATGTCCACAAAATGTAGCAGAACTTTAGGTGATCAGGAAAATCATGAAGATATAAATTTAGCTGGCAATATTATGTGATATGGAGAATGATTGCATAACCTTCTTCATGGACAGGTGTAAAGCAAAGATGGAGAGTAGATCTCTCTTCCTACCCTTTTGAGCATGCTTAGCTTTCCTTTAAATTTACTGCAGGCATTTTCGATTTGTTTTCACAAGGAGGGACTTCAGAAGAAAGTAATTTTAGTAATTTTTTAATTTGTGGCCGTTGACATGCATGGCTGTATTTCTGGATGGTCCTGATTTTCTCTTTTTCCTATTCCAAGGAAATTATGTGGCATACATTACTATCCACTGATGTCTCACTGCTTTCTGGAAAGGAAAATTACTCTATGAAATTTCTTTGCACACAAAATGGAAATGACCTATGATGTATGCATATATTATGAAAGTGGTTTCCCCATATCTTGTAACAATAAAGTGTATGTATTCACTAGCTTCTATGTTGATTGCAGGTATGGATATGAGATCAGATGGTTCTTCAAAGGCACCATCTCTTGTTTCCTTGTTTGGTATGGTTAGCCTATTTTAATTTTCCTGAAGTTATTATTTTTAATTTTAAATGTTAAATAGCTTTGACAAAGGATTGTTATATTTACGTAATGCATATGATCTGCCGATGAAAAATAAATGAACAATATTGATCTTAAATTGAAAAAATGAAGGGCTTAATGTATCGTTTAATTTTTCTAACATCAAAAGAAGGTTGGCATGTACTTGGACTCCTCCCAGTGGTTTCTTCAAATTAAATTTTGATGGAAGTAGCATTGGAAATCCAGGTCCTTCAGGTATTGGGGGTGTTCTAAGAAATGAGGAGGGTAGGATAATAACTATGTTTTTGGGGCCAATTGGAGTGGGTGATGCTCTCTGGGCTGAGATCTCATCTGTCCTAGAAGAAATTCGAAGGGCTAATGAGCTGAACATCACTAAATTGGTCACAGGGGGAGATTCTAAATTGGTAGTGGGCTGGCTAAAAGAAGATAATGCTAGCTTTTGGAACTACAGCAATGGGAAGAGAAAATTTAAGCGTTTGACTAAGGATATCGAAATTAAACTGAACTGGGTAAAAAGAAGTGCTAACTCCTTTGCTGATGATGGGTTAGCCAAACAAGGGGTGACTAGGGTCTAGGGACTCTATCTTTTGGGCTCACTACAGTCTTTTTTTTATTGTTTTTCTGTTTGTCTAAAGGTGGGGGATTTAAGAGATTTTATCTCCCTTTCTCTTGTATTTAATTTTTTTATTAATGAAAGTTACGACTTATTGATAAAAAAAGAAGGTTGGCATGGATAATTGTGGTAAACTCCATATAAGTGGTTAAGGGCATTTCTATCATTCACAAGGATTTGCCTCCAAAATTTTGTAATTTTAAGCCCACTTCAAAGAATTTAATGAGAGACTTTTAATAGTTTATAATTTTATTACGTTATTCCTTTAGAAGTTATAAAAATGTAGTCTTGATAACCTAAAGTAGCATAAATGACAATAAACCCATTGTTGGTAATTTAAATTCTTTAATGCCTATGCAGGTGAAATGAATCTGCAAGAAAGTGCAAACCCAAGTGGTGATACATGAATTCTATACTTCTTTCATCTTCATATGATACTCGAGTTTGTATTTTCATTCTCTTTATATATATATGATATGTAAAGCTACTGTAGAAATTGCGATCATTTCATTTCCTTTCAATTATTTTGTAAACAAGTGTAAAATGGCAGTTAACGAGGTAAGTTAATCTCGACCACCATTTTTTCCCTATAATATGTTGTATAAATGTTATATAATTTCTTATTCTTCTTCGAGGTAAGCTTGATTACATGCAAATTCGTTTTTGATCTGTGCTAGTTTGTAATAAATACCTAATTCAATTATAACTTTATAAGTACATAATCTGACTGATGTTTTCATGTTAAGGAAATATGTAATAGATAATCTTCTGTTAACAAATAGGGTCATGGTGGCATGACATTCTCCTTTATGGACAGCAATGCTTGTCCATCGAGGGTTAGAACTTGTTTACTGGATACTTTTGATACTTTTTCTGACTTTGCACTAAATGCTTATGGGTCTGTCTACAAAAGCCTTTGAATTTGAAACTTGTATCATAGCCAGTGAAGGATATTTCGAGGTTTAGTACAAATCTATATCTATACAAACAATCTCTAAATTTTTGGAATATTTTTTGACTAAAATGCCCCCAAATATGATCCCTCTATTGTGAGGGTAGAAAATGTAATTTTGATTATATTATTCAATGCACTCAATTCCCTCTCATAAATCATACATTTAAGGTATTAATTCTCATTCACTCTCATTGAATCATATATTTAAAGCATCTTTATTTTATTCTCATCACTAAATTCCATTAATTAAATCCATACATAATAAATTAATAATTTCAATAGAATAAAAATTTATACTTTTAAAATCTACATGGAAAAAATAGTACCTTCATCTAAGTGGTGGTAAGAAATTAAACCATTTTGGGTCAAATTGGCCAACTCATGTTGCCCCAATTATCCACTTGTTGAAAAGTTTGTATGTTGTATTAAATAACAACAATAATGTTGCCTCAATTAAATAATATAAAATTCAAAAATAGATAAAGTGCAAAAAAATAAATTAAAGAAAAATTTGGAACACTTTTAACATCATATATATAAAGCCAATATGAAATAAAACTATTTTCCTATAAAACTCATATCTAAGTTATATTTTCTCTTTAAATCCTATATTGAAATAAAACTATTTTCCTATAAAATTCCACTAATTAAATCCGCAACATTAACTTTATTACTATAAAAATAAATATTTTAAAAAATTATTTGAAAACAAAACTATTTTCTTTCCCTCTTGGTGGTGGGTAAGCAATTCAACCATTTGGGGTTAAATGGGTTAATCAACAATGGCATACTTTAATAATAAAAAATTAAAATAAATAAAATGTAAAATATAGAAAAATAAAAAGAATTAAGCATATCTTTAATAATGTATATTCATTATACTACAAAAATAAGAATGAAATATAAGAAGTATTTTTATTAATGATGAAAATAGAATGTTAAATCTAAAATCAACCTATAAATGAAATGATGTCACGGTCAAATAATAAAATTTTAAAAATAGAAAATAAAAATAATCACAAAAATAAAAAAACTAGATAAAATTTTGGGGACACATCTAATTTGCTTTTAGTTTTTTTCATTAAATTTATTTGAATGGACTTTAGGGTTAAAACCGTTATTTTCCACTTTCATCTAATGGAAGGTCGATTTAGTAAATTGATTACAAACTGTAGGGGGTGTTTTAGTAAATGACCCTATTTTATATCACACACACACACACACATACTTTTGTGTATAGTATATTTATTTATACTATAACTCAATGAGGGTGTGGAACTTTCTTTTTTACTAAACTACTATTATTTTTGAATTTAATTCCAAGGGCTAATAATGTAATATCCCTTACAAATTTTCACCTTATTTAATTCCCTTCTCATTAAGCATTATATATAAGGAACTAATTCACATTCTCTCACATTAAATTTTGTATTTAAGGTCTTTTTATTTAATAAATTCTAATAATTAGATCTTTATCAAATACTTTTTACTTTTTAACAATATGAAACCCATGTTTTTTAAATGATAAAATGCTAAAACCCCCCTTAAAGTTTCTAACTATTGCTGAAACTTCCCCTGAAATTTGGTAATTGCAATCACCTCCCTTGAACTTTTTAAAACAGCTACAAGTAGACCCCTTCTCTTATAATCCTCTAACAAAAGGCATGAAAATGTCCAAAATAACCATTTTGTTACTTTGACTAAAATGTTTATTTTCCAAATTTTCCCTTCATGTCAATCACTACCCCAGACCCTTCCAACCTTTTTTCTAAAATTGATTTATTTTATAAATTTTCCCTTCATATGAATCCCTCAAAAAGTTGCAAATTTAAACTTTCTTTTTTTTTTGTTGTTCATAAAGTTTGCATTATGCTATACAAAAACTAGCCTCAATGGTAACTGCATGGGTATTTTGGATATTTGTGTGCCTCTTGTTAGAGGATTCAGAGAGAAATGGAAGCGATTGCAATTACCAAACTTTAGGGAGATTTTAGCAATGGTCAAAAACTTCAAGGTAGATTTCAACAATTTATCATTTTCTAAAATTAACCAAAAAAAAAAAAGAAAATGAAACCATTTTTCCATCCAAGTGGTGGCTAAGCCAATTCAACCGTCTAGGGTCAATTGGGTGAATCCATGTGGGCCATTTTTTTGATATTTTATATTAATCATAATAAACAAAAATAAGTGTCATAAACAAGAATTGTTTATATTGATAATGGTAAGAAAACACAAATTTTAAAACCAACCAAGAAACGAAATTGATTTCCTATTTGGTCCAGATTAATAGTTCAACTTTTAATTCAAATGTGCCAATATTTGATGTTATAATTAAACAATAAAAGCTAAAAAAAATAGTAAAACTGAAAAAATACATAAATTTTACAAAAAAAAAAATCTGGGTGCATCTCTAATATTGTATATTCATCATATTAACAAAAACAAGTATCATAAATAAGAATTATTTTTATGCACATGGAAATATAACAAATGTAAAAAAGTGTAATTTGAACTATTATTTTTCACCTCATTAAAATCCCTCTTATTAACTCATATTTGAGGGGCCAACGCCTATTCTATCTCATTAAATGATATATTTAAGATATTTTCTCACAAATAAATTCAGTTATTAGATCAATATCAATACTTTTAATAATAAATTTCATTTGTTTTTCAAAGTTGAACCAAAAAATGAAATTGTCCTTCAGTCTAGGCGGTGGATAAGCAATTCAACCATTTGGGTCAAGCCAAGGTTCAAAGTATCGACACGTATTGGCTGACATGTATTGTTCCGTGACCCCTCCGATATGCCCCTATAGTGGGTGTATCGGGGATCTGACTGGTTCAGGGGGTGGAGACCTAAACCGGTTTCAGAAAAAAACTAAAAAAAAACAATATCGATTTGCCCAATACACCCATATTGGCATATCGGGCATATCAATATTTTGAACATTGGGTCAAGCCATGATGTCATAATTAAATAATAAAAATTAAAGACAAAAACAAAAAAAAATGCATAATATTTGTAGAAAACATTTGTGACATCTTTAATATCCAGTTATTTTATATACATAGAAATATATACAAAGTTTATAATAATTTGAATGTATATTACTATCTTCGTCATCTAAAATTGTCATGTGCAGACCATATGCAAATTTACTAGTACATATAAAAGACAAGATTTTTTTACTATTTGTACTCCTTTCAAACTGAGCCTGACTTGCACTAAAAGGATTATGGGTACATGGCATCGGCTAACACCGGTGTATACCCCATGATGAAAAAAGACTTGCATCCCGACTAACGGGAGCTATATTCCTCAAAGTCTAGACTATACTCATTATATAAAATCTCAAAGATCAAAATTGCAGCTGCTAATCAGATATGGTTTTGGCCTAAGGATAGTCTCAATTCTCCTAAAAAGTATGTTGCCAATCGAATATTTAAAGCCCCTATTATTTGACAAATCCCTTTTCAAGTATTAAGTTTTTTTTGATAATTTACAAAATCCTTCCCTACCATACAGAGGTCGGATCTGCTCACAATAAAAAAAGTGTTCTAACACACTTCACCATGATTTGTGTTTGTACATTAGACATGGTGGGTCTTAGTTTCATGGTGAGATGTGCGGATACAGATCATGTTGGAAAAGTGTTGGGATAGTTTTTGTTGTGAGCAAATCCAATTCATCATTGCAATCTGCTCACATGTGATGCCATGCAAGGTTTTAAAAATCGACCCGGAAACGGAACTGTTTTAGCTACCAGTTTTTGGGTCAGCGGTTCAACCGTCCGGGCCTAACAGTTTGGACGGTTTGCATATTAGGGAAAATTTATATGAGATTTCAGATTTGAGAGAGGAGAAAGAAAAAAAGAGTTGTCGGCTGAGAAAGTAGAGGCTGAGAAAGAAAAAAAGAAGAAGAAGAAGGAGAGAATGAGGGAAGATGAAGGAAGAGGAGGATTCGATGCTCACCGGCGACGGCGACGACGAGGCGGTGGCAACTGGCAACAGATACAGATCTGAGATCTGAGTTCTCGGATCTCGGATCTGAGATCTGAGTTCTCGGATCTCGGATCTCAGATCTGAGATCAATTTCTCTAAAACACCTGTAGTCTTCTTCTTCTTCTTCTCCTTGTGCTAGATCCCAGATCTGAGTTCATGTCTCAGGTTGGATCTCAGATATGAGTTCTCCTCTCTGCAACTTTATATTGCGAACTGCTGGCTGGATCAAATGAGTTGACGGTTTGACCGCTCGGGTTAATGGTTTTTTAACGAAAACAATGGTTTTTGACCCAAGAACAGGTTAGGGGTGAAACAGAACCGATTGCTTGAATGATTTTCAGGCTGAACAGTCCAACCATCCAGATCAACGATGGTTAAAAACATTGATGCCATGTAATTTATATAATTTTTCTAAATACCAAATATACACTTTATGGATGAAAATACCCTTTGACCTTTAGAACATGGTCAAGTCTTGTTTGTAGCAGAACTTGGACTTCCGTTGCAACTGTTTATAGGCCAACATTGCGGCATCATCCGTTCATCAGAGTTTCGTCCACGATTGTACTTGAAAATTAACATCGAGGTAACAATCTCAATGTACAAACAGACTGGTTAGGATTGGTTCGTAGCCATTGCCAACGTTCGTTCACTGTATGTGATACACAATAGGTTTGTCTCCACTTGCTAAACAATGAAATAATGA